CAATCGCAGCACTCTCACCGAAGAAGCTCGAAGCTCATCCAGCTGTCTTTGAAGTCTCCTGATTTTGGCATCACCGGTCTCCTCAACCGATGAGCTTTCCTGCGAAGCTCCTGGAATCACCTTCAGCATCTTTCCAGCTTCTTCCAGTAGACTCTTCATATCGTCCGCTCCAGCAACTGCTCGGTCGGACTGATTGTCCTCCTCATCATTCTTCTTCTTTCTGGCTTCGCCATCTTTTTCGGCTTTGGCCACTTTGACTTCTCCTTGGCCCTCACTCACTGGACATTTGTTGGAGAAGTGCTTTGTGGACCCGCAATTCCAGCAGCGACGCTGGTCATCCTTCTGGTTGTGATCCCATCTGCAAGCTTTTCCTCGACGGCATCCATTGTCCGTCAGGAAGTACTTACACTTTGGCATCTCCTTCTTACCCTCATCGCCCTTCTTGGCTTGAGGCACTTCGCTTCTTTTTCCTGCCTCCTCCATCTTCCGAGCTTTAGGAACTCCTGCGATGGCTGCCTTTTCCTTCTTTTTGGCATAGGAGACCTGGTCCATCTCAGCCAGTAAGCATTCGGCCAACTGGTCAATGGAAGACATAGTGGGCACAGAATCCACCATCAGTGTTGTCCTCGTCAGGTTAATGCGAAACTGCAAGGTTGGATTGCCAGCCAAAATCTTGGAGACCAGCCGGTCCAGGCCCCTCAAAAGGACCGATGGATCGGGCAACTGAAGGCCCATGTCTTCTGCCCTTTTCTTCCACCTCAACCAACGACGTAGTCCCAGGATGCCCTCGCCGATCCCCACCGCTTCTGCCGGCAGCTCCAAAGCGGCCAGCACTGCTGCTTTTTCATGGGAACCACCAGGCTGGTAGTTGTTGAGGAGTTTTGCCAAAATCGCCAACACTGAAAGGTCTTTCCCTGCCACAATGTCATCACGCTGACTACTGGGCAAGGCCTGAAGAAGCAAACTGCTTCCTCTCTTCTCCAACCTTCTCCATTTCTTCTGCTGTAGTTGCGGTGGTGCCCTGACTTCATGCTTCAGCTTGTCGATGGGCTTCATGGCTTGGTGTTTGTGGTACCAGTCCTTCGCAGTCTCAACCACTAGATCCCACCATTCTGAACTGCTGGTAGTGAGATCCGACATCTGTGCATGGATGAGAAGCAACCAGTCCTGTAAGTCCACCGGAGCATTCTCAGCTGTCCACTCCGGCAGTTTGTGCAGCTCTACACTGCTCCTCACATGCTCCTCTTCATCGTCCTCTGTTAGCCGTCGGCCCCTGATCGTCTCTCGATCCAAGAGCTGTTGTTGCAGCGATTGCATCCCTTGCATCAACTTGAGCATCACGTCCACTGTGGTGTCCTCCTTTTTTGATCTTCCTTTGTGATCTTTCACATTCACTGAATCTTCCGACTCCTCTTCTTGAATCGATTGACTCTCCTCACTGGACTCTTGCTGTCCAGCTGGACCATCCTCCTTAGAAACTTCTTCAAGCTTCCTTCCAATCACTTCCTCCTCTGCTTTGGGGGTCTCAGCCTCCTGTTCTCCTCGACCTGCAGCCTCCTTTGGCTTCGAAGCTTCAAAGTCTTCCTGCTTGGCTTCTACACCTTTGGACTTGGGCTTCTTTCCTGAAACCTTCTGACGGCGGGCGCTGTCACGGAGACCTTCAGCAGGAGTGACATCGGGAGGTGTTGTGTATCTAGTCTCTCGTTCTTCCATAAGCTGAATCCTCAACCTCAAATTTTCTTCTTGAAGCTGGGTGAGAGACTTTGACATTTGTCCCATTTCTTGTCGAAACTGCCACATCATCTCATCAAACATTCCTTGTTGTGTGGGGTGTGGCACGTATCCATAACCATGTTGAGGTGCTAAGGGATATCCCATTGGTGACATCATCAAGACTTCCGGACCCTTCCTTGATGGTCCCTCTGACATGTCAGCTTCCTTCCCCATTCCCACCTTCCCTGCCGCCAAACCCCCATCCCATCCGCCGGTGGACTGGCTTACTGCGGTGGGGCTTGGGCCCTGCAAAAGTGGTGCACTCAACCTGAGTTCCTCAGCTTTCTTTATCTGAGCTTCGTTGAACAGCGGCTGGAGGTTCCTGGGTCCTAGGGCCTTAGGGGATCCTACAGGTTCAGCTGGAAAGTCTTCTATTGGCAAGGGGGTTTTCATATCTTCCCCAACAGGACCATTTGGTGACGGCCTTCCAACCCTTTCCCTATCCACTGCCACTAGAGCCATCTCTGCCCCTTGGTTTCTCGCGCTTGCCCGGGTGCTTGACGCTGTTTGGTCTTTCTTTGACTCTTCATCATCAGGCTCAGACCTTCTTCTTCTGAGCATCATTTCAGCAGAGTCCCCATGCGTTGGGCTCATAACCTGTTCGCGACAGGTTCACCCGGGTAATATTATCGGGGGTACTAGCACTGACAGTCCTGACACGTCTGCGGCCAGAAAAGCCAGGTACTAGTCCACACCTCAAACTCCTTGCGTTAGACACACAAAGTCCTCCACGGTCAGACAAGTGGTCCTGCGCTTTTAACTCTCTTTCCAAAGTCCTTCACGTTGGACTCACCGGTCTTCCGACCGATCTTTGAGCTTGGAAAAAGGGCTATGGTGAAATGCCCATTGATTGAAATGACAATTGCAAAGTCATGACATGAATGCTAAATAGGGAATATGCAATTCGCAAAAACATCTGGGCAATTTTTTGCCACCCAACCCTGGCCGACCAATTTTCATGGATTCATGGCTGAGGATTCGCTCCGATGGTTTTTGGACCAGTGCCTCCCTCAGTTCACCTATGGAATCCCCTGGTTTTCACATCAAAATGGCTGGGATTTATGTGAATAACCCCCCCATGGATATGGTATTTCATAGCTAACTTGATCCATCCACATGTATCAAACTCACAATTCATGATGTGATCATTGGATGAGATCGCGATATGGTACAAGATTGAATGAAACGGGAAGTCCAGTGCTACGTCTTCGCATACATGAATACATACTATTTTCATAGGATGTTGTTTTTCTTTTTTCTGGGGGTTGCTATAGGTACAAAGCATTTACGAAAGTTACACATGCATGCGGGCATCTTTGAGCGTAGTTTTATGGTCACATTTCCAAGGCAATGGGTATTCCTGAGCATGTAGGTCTACTCTTGTCAAGTTTGTTAGGAATGAGCCAGACCTGCATATTTGCTCCTGATGTGTTGAAAGATCAGAATGATTTCAACGTCTACAAATCATACTCTCTCTCCAACCAACTGATGTGCTTTTACGTATGGACCTTTTTTTTTTGGCACCAGATTCAAAATTGGAATCTGACCAGTATATTAGCCGTGGGAAGACAGGGTTAGACAAGATTGTATTTTATACTTTATTTTCGTTTCCTTCGCGAAATCTTCTTCATTTTAGATATTTGAAATGGATCCTGAAATGGTATATGTATATATAATACCTAATTTTCTCCAACAAACATGTTGCCCAAATTTCCTCTTAACTCTGTAGTTTCTTTATAGCTGTTATAGTTATATATTATGCAAGAACTACTGTGGTCACTCCAAATTACCACCCCTTACGATGCCTGAAGTCCCAGTCACTTCTCATTGCAATTATACTACTTTCAAGTCCCTACAAAAACCCAGGTCCCCGAACTAAATGGAGGTTTATAGCTGGGGAAAATCAAGGAACTAAGTTAGTCATTTTCCATTTAGATTACATATACGACATATACCAAGCTAATGTCCCTACAAAGTAGTTTTATCAGGAAAGTTATTATACATACTACTCTCTTGTATATGCCATATTTATATATTGCTGTAGTCATTATAGTTCTTACAATTCTTACAGTTATAATAGTGATTATTGTAGTTCTTATAGTTGTTATAGTTGTTATAGCTGTTATAGTTATTATAGTTATTATATTTATTATAGTTATTACAGTTATTATAATCACTAAAGTTGTTATGGTTATTATACTTGTTATAGTTATTGTACTTATTATAGATATTATAGTTATTATAGTTATTAGAGTTATCATAATTATTATAGTTATTAAAGTTATGATAGCTATTATAGTTATTATAGTTATTTTCATTATGAAAGTGATAATAGTTACTATAGTTATTATGATTATTATAGTTATTATAGTTATCATTGTAGTTATTTTTTTTAAAATAGTCATTATAGTTATTATAGTCATTAGAGTTATTATAGTTATTATAGTCATTATAGTCATTATAGTTATTACAGTGATTGTAGTTATTGTAGAAACTAGACATATTATAGTTGGTATAGTTTTTATAGTTAGTATAGTTATTAAAGCCATTATAGTTATTATAGCATTCATAGTTTTAATTGTTATTATACTTATTACTGTTATTATAGCTATTACACTTATTATAGTTTTAAAGTTGTTATAACCATCATTAAAGTTGGTATGGTTGTTATAGTTCTTATAGTTTTTATAGTGTTTGTAATTATCATAATTATTATAGTGTATGCACTTATCATAGTTATTGTAGTTATCATAGTTATTGTAGTTATTATAGTTGTTACACCATTATAGTTATTACATAGTGATAGTAGTTTTTATAGTTGTTGTAGTTTTTGTAGTTATCATAGTCATTATATTACTATACACTCACTACTCTAGTTCTTACTATAGTCTGACCATTATACATATTATATACTATCATTGCCACTATGGCTTTCTTTTTTACTATAGTTATTATATGGGGATGGATCAAAACCTATTATTATCATATTTGAGGGAAGAACCATTCATTAGCCAGCTATTTTGGGGTACCTAGGGTACCAGGGTATTGACCCATAGCCATACACTACCATAGTTTCTATTATTTCTATCATACTATACTAATGATTACTATTCTGACAATGATATAAGTATTACTATGATATTACTATTATGATGATCAAAAACCATAAGTATTTTTGGTTCTGTTATGAACTCTGCTCCTCTGTTGTAACGTCGGCAGGTGCCACC